AGTGAATAATGGACAAGTGGAGAACATAGTGACAAATTTTACCACAAATGTCATTATTAAAATGACTGAGGGAAGCAATCACTTAGAAATTTACTAACAAATTGATTTATCTCTCTTCCCACTACAGATGGAACAGGAAATATATAAATAAATACATTGGAAATACGTAAATAAATGCACATTGATAATTATATGGTTTGATTATTAATATGGCGATTTATCTGGTAAGTTTTGGCTGAAAGCATTTTGTTGAATATTTTAAATGTTTTTCCTTTTTTTAATCCCATGTAAATTTCTTTTATTTTAAATTATATTAATCTATTGGTAAGTATATAAAATTTTATGTTCCATAAAAATACAACTATGGAGAATTTCTGTGTATATATTTTAAATAATTTATTCTTTTTTGTGTTTTTCAATGAAAACACTTTTGTCATTTTATCATTAGTTCTGTTGATTTTGGCAAGTTAAGAGAATTAGGTTTACTCCTCAAATATCTTTGACAAATGATTGACAAACTTTTTCATTGAAATGATAGAGAAAATTGACTTTGATTTGTTTGTGGATAAAGGGTGAAATACTATATACAATGTTGTGATTTTTTTTTTTTTATGACAAGCAAGTAGTACTAGTAAAATAGAAGATTGGAACAAAATAAATGGCTGCTTTGAACCACATACTTTAAAATATCAGCATAATTCTGTTCAAACAACTTTATTACTCAAAGTTAGTATCATTAGACTCAAGACAATGTTACAATTGAGCCAACATTGAATTTATAAAAACTGAGGTTTCAGGATCTTATTAACTACTGTAATGTATTTTAATTCTGGTTTTTACATCAACCTTAGCTGGATGAAGAAAATCTTAATTCAAATAATCTCTTGGAGACTGGTGATACCGAACTTTGCAAATTGGGATTTCAAAGAGTCTCCATTTTTAAGGGGTAAAAATTTATTTTTTCTAAAACAATCCCTACTGTTGTTTGCATATCACAATGTTGATTTGAAATAACAGTGGTGTCGTGCAAAACTAAATCTAAAATCTTTGGGATATTCCAGACACCCCTATCGCTGCGCCAGAACCCAAAGCAGCAGTCATTGAGGATGTTCTTTTGGAGATGGAGCCTCTTGCACCTCTCCTTGCTCTCCACGAAGGGCTCACTGAAAAGCTTCCTGAAGAAATAGTTGCTAAAAGAGGTACACAGTGTGTGTGCATTGACAAATCATTTGCATGCTTCCCCTTAAAATAACAATGAAATTAAAAAAAACAAAACTAATTTTTATGAATCTGGGCATGAATTTTTATATCAGGAGTTGGTTCATAAACATAAAACTCAATATTTTGACATACAAGTTTTTTATTTTTTGTCAAGCAGTTAAATGAGCTTATAATCAAAGATATTTTTGTATCTAGATCCAAGATGTGTTGGTACAAATTTTGTTTCTTCAATGTGATAAATGTCTTGAATTCTAACATACATTAAATGTTGTGCTTGAGATTGCACACCTTTTAACCAATGTCAGTATTTAAGACTTGGTTAAAAAAAAAAAAAAACAAACAAAAAAGTGCACTATTGCGTGAATTTCATGCTCTCAATCTCCATTTAGCCTTGTACTTGAACTTACCTAAAATATTAATAAGCAGAGTTGTGATAAATTTACATCATTTGCTAGTGTATTTCATAGCTGTTTTTAATTTTTCTGTAAAAGTTTGAAATTTTTATTAGACTATTTAAGTTGGTTTGTTTTAGGTGAATTTTCCTAAAACCTCACAAGCACAATTCCTGCACAAGAGGTTACATAATTCCTGTTTAATTATTTATTTGCATATGCAATGTATGCATAACCTGGAGTGGGGGGAGTCTTGGTGTCAAATTAAAGATTCATATTTTGAATAAAGCTTTTTGGTTAAGGATTTATTAATCTATTTTTGATTTACCCTTATAAAAGCAAATATTTAACTAATTGTTTGCAAAATCTGTTTGTTTTTATCTCCCTGCCCCCTTAATTTCCTTCATATTCTGCACCCTGTTTTCATTGTTTGAAGCCCATCTCTTATTTTGTCCTTTGTTTTCCTTGCAATGTTTCCCCTGGAGAGAAACAAAGCTTTTGTATATTTGTATTCTGCAATTTTCAGCAATATGTGCAAAACAACTTCATAATTCTTAATAGAGAAATATTATCAATCCCTTTCTTTGTTAAACAAAACTTTTTTACCATGTTCCTACTGAACGCGAAAGTGTTGAAATCCACAATGGTCTGACTTTTATAGTCCATAAGTTGATGTATGCTAATTATTTCAATTATCTCTTTATCAATTGGCATTCTGTTTGTTCCTTGGACTTCATTCCAGAGATGTTAATGCACATCTTTCTCTGTCCAGATACAATTTGTCATATCAGATTTTTACACTTTTCCTTTGAATATGGTTTCTCCATCATCTTTGATCCTTGCTTGAGCACATTGTCAAAGTGTTTTTTCAATAGTACAACCACTCTTTGTAACTTCATATTGACAAAAATATCAAGGAAGAAAAGTTGAATTTATAACATTGCATATAAATATGGAAAAGAATACAAGGGAGAGACCAGCTATTTACAAAGTATATACAAGTATTTACAAGTGTTTCTTTTAAAGTTTTGTTTACTACCATTTTAGTTCTTGCACTGCCTGAAAAGCAACCATTTCTTTCTATATGACTAAATACAGCGAAAGAAGGCTGTATAATGTACCTGACAGTCTTGTAACAGCAAAAAGAAAAAATGAGTTTAGTTGTCTGAAAGTATTTGAATGCATTGAGGTAAATTATTAAGTGAAGGCGTAGCATCTGTTATGCTTATGTTGCATTTCATACATCTGGATTGTTATCCATTGGCAATAAGAATTTAAAATTGTTGGCTTTAAGTTTTGGAGATGCAATATCTCAAAGGGCATGAGAATTTATAGATATTATGTAAGGTGGATATGTGTGTGAATTTAGTGCAATTTGTGCGCATTTAGATCAACATACACATACATACATATATATATATATATATATATGTGTGTGTGTGTTTTTAATCTGACATTTTTATTAGTTTAAATGTTATTTTTAGTGGATACTCATATTTGAGTAAATGGTCTGTTTTGGATATAAGATTGAGCAGATATGTCTTCCAAAAAAATCTGAATGTGTGTGTGTGTGTGCTTTATAGGCAAATAGGACCTTGCTTCATTATAAAGTTTTTTGTAGCCCAGCATTCAAAACATACTGGATTAAATGGTTCTTCCCACAAGTAGAATCCTACTGGAGGGCAATTTTTCTTTAAGCTTTCTTGAGTATGCAAACTGGTAGATGAAATTAATACTGTTTAAAATAAATGGAACATCTCCTCAAATACTGGTATACACTTAAAAATAACATTTGAAGTAATAGTAATATAATATACACACACACACAATTAAAATTTCTCAGTTTATAATGTCTGAAACAAGATCCATTGCACTTTTATGCTTCATGCCATGTCCCTTCAAAATATAAGCAATCATGGCATTTTACAATTTCCTAACATTTGTTATTCTTAACAATATTTGCCACAACCGGTGAGGATCACTCATGAGTGTTCACCATCACTTTACAGCAGCTATTCTGTATATATTTAAGCACAGTCTTACTACAAGACCATGATAGTCAGGCATTCACCAAGTATTAAACTTACTGTCAATAGCCTGAAAAATTAATCTGCAATAAGCTGTCAATCATTATTTACTCGCCCATCTAAAATATTCCATTTTAAGTTTCATCTTTAAAATAAAGCTTTCTCTTCTTAAATTGTGTTTAAAACAGTATTAATTGGCAGAATGGTTTTTGTATTGTGAAATATTATTATTAGATTATTTTTCTTATCCTTCTTTGGATTGTCTCTCCGCAAACAATTATACACCCCACCATGTTTTGGGAATATAGGGGGTAAGAAAAGTATTTTATTGATAATTATCTATTTAAATACCTTTCATTATCACTTATATACCAGTCAGTTGATTTGTACTTGATTCTCATTCATGCAATACTCTTCAAAATCTAATATGGTGAATTAAAAATAAATACTATGGATAAAGAGAAACCTTTTTTGATGTGTAAATAGGAAATATAGATAAAGGCTGCAAATATACATGGCTTCATTGGTCAACAAGTTCACTCTTACCTCAAAGGTAATGTGCCATGAAATCTCAATCTTTCCTTATACACACTAACAGGAATACTATCTTCAAATGATTTCTACTAATAAAATTACTTCATAAGACTTCATGTGTGTTTTTTCTTTGATGTGCATAAACAGATTTCAAATCTTACTTCTGTATATATATGTTTAAAGCTATTTCAGTGATATTTGTTGGTAGATGAATATCATGAATTTTCTTTTTTGTAAGTCAGAGGCTATGAAGATACTATTTTTTCATATTTTTGTTTATTTTAATAGAATTTTTTTAGGTTGAAATATATATCTTATTTGAGACAGCTCTGGATTTGTAGATTTTATATTGATCCTAAGATATGAATTGAAGTCTATTAAACAATGAAATATTAAGTGACAAGTTTCATATGCACAAAGGTTATTTGAAAGTAAATGTAAAATCTGAACATAATGTAATCTATGGTATGTTGATTGATTTTAGGTTTCTGTAATTTTCTGTTCCTGCATTCTTTATTACCCTGCAATGTTTTTATACTTGTATAAACTTAATTTATATAAAACTTTTGAAAACATATATCGGAAAGTATTCTTTCCCCTTTAATCCTGAAAATACAGGTAGGACATTCATTTAAAAAAAAAAAAAAACCAAAAAAATCACAATAAAAAAATTTTTGCCAACTTGTTGAGAATTTACAATTGTACTGCTATCATAACACTTTTGAACATTGGTCCTTACAAAATTGCCAATCAAATCACATACTTTTTAAACCCCCTCTCCTGTACCTCATTTCTGATGGGTTCACTCTCTGATTGCTTCCTGCAGTTCCTGACCAACATGCAACTGATGGAAGAGCCCAAGTTCAAGAAGGTACTAATCCATTCCCAAACCAAACTTTTTATTATTTAAAATGTTTGCTGTGCACGTCTAAACATCTCACTTGATGTATTTGTGCATGTATATTTAAAAAAAAAACAAAAAAAAAAACACATTGGACATAATCTTTTTTTTTCTTATTTCTCTTTTGGGATATTTCCTATAAATTCTTGAAAGTAACAATAAGAAATACGAGTGAATGTTTGAAATTAACTGCTTGTTAAGTATTTCTTTTTTAACATTGGTTGAATATGCTTGTCTTTAATTGTTATAAGAACATAACTTATTTTTTCAGTTTTTCATTTCATGCTTAGAAATCATCTGATTGATTCAACTTCAACCTGTCATAATATTTGTGCATAAGACAAATTACATTAATCATGTATTATATTTACTTGACTTTGCACTCCATTTCTGGGCATGCTATTTGTTTGCCTGTATTATTTGCACTACAGGTAAGCGAATACAATATCTGCTTCTACTTAACTAAGGCCATGTGCTTTGTTCTCACTATCTTTGAGCAGAAGGTTGTGTTGGTGAGTGGTCCTCCAGAAAAGAGAAGATGGTTCCATAGGAACTCACTACTTTAGAGAGCAATAGTTTTTGACAGATAAATATAGCTACAACTACAAAAATAAGCATTCAATTTGTATATTTACTTAAATTGAAAGAGTAAATTTGTGAGGATTATTGATTTATTTGGCCATTGTGAATAAATGGCTGTAGCTTAGGAAAGGAAAATTAAATTTTTAACCACTATGATATATTGACATTATAATTTGTGATAATAAAGCAAAAAAAGGTTAATTTTCATATCACAGTTGTGTATGCTATGAAATCTATAATGTTAGGCATTTGTGAACAATAAAAGTAAGTGTTAAAATCTATGTAATAAGTTGATATTAATGCCTTTCAAAATAATTCTGAGAAAGAAAACTAATTTCATCCCTGATAAATTCATTTTGGTACATGCAGTATAATTTTCAAATTGATAAAATTTTAAAATTATTTTGCTTATCGTTTACAAAAATAGAAATTGTCTATTTTATTATATTTTATATAAGTAAATGTATATGCATGCATATAAATGTATTTATTATATATAATTTATTCATAAAACAGAGTAATTTAAAAAAAAAATTCTCCCTTTCATGGGAGCATTTTGATTAGAAAAGCAGGACCAATATTATGATTTCAGTCTTCACCTGTTCATTATCCCTGTTATAATATTCTTTGGGTCTTCCACAAATGATTAAAACAATGTTAACACTTTCTTTTTCTAATAAAGGTACTCTCATAGAAATATTTTATATATTTTTGAGAGAGGTGGTGCTGAAAATTTCTTGACTCTGCCCAGTTCCTGTAATCAGGCTAGTTGTGACCAGTCAGATAATTTTATTTTTAAATGATTTTTGGCTTGACCAGGAATTTTTCAACATCTCATAATTGAATGTATCAGTGTTAGTCATTGTACAATATTTTTAATATAACTTTATTAAAAACATTCTAAATTTTGTTTTACTGATAATTAAAATGATTCAATAATCTGTTAATTTTGGTTAAAACTAGACTACCCATGACCCATTGGGTCACTGATGGTTCAGGTTATAAAATATTGAGGTTTATTTCAACATTAAAAAAAAAATGATCTGTTTGAAAAAAGTTGAAATAAAAATACTTACTGTATAAACAACTCTTATTTTTAAACCTTATTCACTTAGAATTGGTTTTATGTAAGTTTTAAAATGAAGTTTTAAAAATGAACAAGTTCCTCAAGTTTTCAATTAGCTTTAAATGAAAGCTAAAGGATTAAATTTATTATACTCAGTAAGCAAAATATTTTGTATTTCAGACAGAAATTATATTGATTGTAATAGATATGCATCCCCCCAGTAAAATCAATAGTGTCAGCCTTTTTTCTTCTTTTTTCTTTTTTTCTAGAAATTTGTAAACAAAAATTAATTTTCCATTTTTAAAATCTTGCAAAAATAAAATATTTCTGAAACATTATTTTAGGAAATTTGGCAAATGTAAAGTTGATTTAATCTGGGAAATTAAAACAAATATTACTAAAACAATATTGAAACAAATATTACTTACTTATAACATAAAATGTTGTATACAATAGGGTCTTGTTCATTGATTTACTGACACCGGATTGACTCTTAAGTATGGTGTAGTAGACAAAAAATTTCAATAGGTTTTTTTTTCCCCCCTGTTAGTGGGTGGGCAACTCTTATAACATTAACTTTTAAGAATAGATTTATTGATTTTTACATCCTTACTTCAGAAATTCTGCATCTATAAAAAAACAAATTGAATTTCTTTTAAAAATAGTTGAGGGTCTTTAGGTTGTAATAAGCTTTAAATATATGATTAGTAAATATAGTTTACTTAATTCTTAGGGGATATTGCTATTATCTCATTGAAATTGAACTAAAAAAGATTCAAAAATTTTATAAATTATTCAATTTTAAATTGAAAAAAAAAAATGTAAAAAAAAAAAAAAAATGAATCAAATCTTGTAAAAATTCATTTTTCATCATAAATTTTTTTTTCTTCAGACAGTATTGTCTTTAATATATATTCATAAAAGCAATTAAAAACTTCTCTAATTAAATAATGTCTTAGTTTTATTGCATTATTTTTTTTTTTTATTCAGAACAGATTTTCAGTAAAACCTGGTCTTGTTTTGCAAAGAAAAATCACTGATTTAAATTATTCAAGAAATTCTGTTTTCAACTAATATAGTCACTAAAAATTATCTCAATGAATTTTTAAAGCTTTCATAAAATGAAGGGGGAGAAAGAGTAAAGTTATTTTTACCAAAATTTTCTAATAAAAAAAATTTAGAAAATAATTTCATTCATTTGTGAATAAGTCCTGAAAATTTCATTAAAATCCAGCAATTTTTTTTTTTTTTTTGCAAGAATTTCCAAATTAATGTGTCTGTCACCACAAAAAAAAAAAGAGGCAAAAATTTTCTATGCTAAAACTCTAATAATACAACTGTTGTTCCATGGACAAATTTTTAATCAAAATTTTGAATCTTCTAAAAAGGAGTAAAAAAAAAAAAAAAAAATTTAATTAAAAAAATAAAATACTTCGGTTCTTTATTCTTTTTCTTAATTATAACTATGATTTTGATGATAATATTTTCATTGTTTGGAGCATGTTTTCACTGTAGTACCTTTTTTTTTTTTTTTTTTTTTTTTTTTTTTTTTTAAATATCTATCTCATGGAGGGAGGTACTTATTTAAAATATTTTTTAAATCTGATTAACTTAAAAATATTTTTTAAATATGCCAAAAAATACTTTAAAAATATTGTTTGTTTAAAGAAAGTTGAAATAAATAAGCATGCAATCACAGAGAGGTGGAAAGAAACTTAAATCCTAATTATGCACTGGATGGATGCATCACGCAATCATGCACAAGTCAAACTTTTAGTATTATATAGATAACAATATTGTACTAAACTGTATAATTATTATTTTTTTTTTATTCAAGATCAAGTAAAATCCTTTCCTTGGAATGAGACTAAGCATTCTTCTCGGCTCATTTTTACAATATTATTCATACAAATAGAGCAGGTTACATTTGATATGTGGTTGATATGAGCAGAAAAGCATCACAAGATAAATTGGAATTTTTTTTTTTTTTTAATTTTAAATGTAAATGATTTTTAATAACTCTTATTCATGTTGGGTCTTTATTTCTTTAATTAGGGATCTGTTAAAGGTTTCTGTTGAAAGATGTAATTTTCATTACATATTTTTAACTGAGTTAACAAATCTTTTGATTTATTCAATAGGAGAAAAATATACTAATGCTGATGACTAACTATTTACTAAGCTGAGCTTTATTTTAGCCCAGAGCTGTAAGTAATGATCCTTGAGTAAGGATCAGACTTAACACACATTAGTAATGGTCTGCAGTTACAGCTAGTTCACTCAGCCATAACAGAATCCCTCCTCTCAACCATAATGAAGACAATCTTGTTAATCAACACTCTTCAAAAGACATCTGAACAGAAATTTTATGCTACAGTGTGTAGGAGTGTTTTAAGAGTGGGAAATGTTCTTGTCTGTCATTACCAGAAGTTTGATTCCATGTTAAAGAAATACAATTAGTTTTACACTGTTACTGTATTTTTAAAAAAGCAAAAAATGTACAAGCATGAAATCTTATCAGCCATTGCTGAATAGTTGCAAATGTAAACAGCTGTTGTTGGAATAAATCTAAATCTGCTAAAAGAAAACATTGTTCTCACAACTGAATCAGTAGAATTGAAGTCTAAGTCAAGTTTGAAACCCTTCTCTTTATGGGTAGCACTCATTTTAATGTTAACTCTTATGTTAAACTCAAAGTAATAATTTCTCAGACAGAAAAATGGTTGCTATCTATGATGAAAGAAAAAACTTAAATCCTTGTGATATAGAAAATAAGTTTTGTAACTAAATCTGAAGAAATATTTTCACTGATGCATTTGCTCTCAACTTTAAAATAAGTTTTTTTTTCCTTCTCATTATTGTGATATAATAGAAGCCTTTTCATTTGTTATTTAAGGATTTGCAAGTGGTGTAATGAATAGCAGCTTGGAATGAGAAATCTGAGCACAGTTCGAATTATAGCTAGGTTCATTAAACACAGATACCTTTGGGGGAAAAGTATGAATCCATCTCATCCCACCAGTTAGGGATTAAATAGTATAAATTGTATCAGAAAAATCATTGTCATTCTCAAAAGTTTAATGTTCAAAGAAGAAACTAACAAAATAGCAGAAAGGGCAGATCTGACAGTATTGCATCATTAATACTTATGTTTGGTATATCTCTCTGTGTAGTAGTAGTTGTAGCACAGTTCTCCATGTTATATTAAGCCAGTGGGTCTGCTAAGCAATGCCCTTATGTTCACCAGTTGTTCTCTATTTATACTTATCTTATTTGCACTTATTTAATACTATCTTATTTGCATACAATACTACACCTCCCTGAATCAGAGATTGTAAACCCGTGTTTTTTTTTGTTTTTTTACTATTCCTGATTATTATTGTACTGTACTATCCTTCCTCTTGTTTGTCTTGTTTTCTCTTTAATGGTGATCTCTGTCCCTCTTCATTTTCTTCACTCTTGTCCATCTTTTCATTCTCCCTTTCTTCTATTTCCTGCTCTGTTCCACTTTTGTGACTTTCTGTCTCTTGTTCTTGATCTTCCATTTCCATGTCATGTTAAGATTGACTCCCAAGGATAAGGGATGAGTTAGGGTTTTGAAATTTTCTGGCTACACAATTTACTAAGCATTGTGGAATGATAACCTGATAGTTGTAATAAAAGGCAATTAAAATAAATGCTCATAAAAAATAAAAGAAGTCTAACAATTATCTTATCAGAGACCTTTTTTTTTTTTCTTTTTTTTTTTGCATTATGTGAATGAATTTTCTTTAAATATACTTCACTTTCTGCAACTATCTAACTTTATTACTACTGATATTAATCTTTATTTTATTCTACTTTTCTATATGATTTTTTGATGCTTTCTGAAAAAAAAAAGATACTGTTTAACAATTGCCAAGTTTATAAACTTGGTAATTATTTTTCGTTTGGTTAACATATTTCCTTACAGCCAACACTTGATTTAATGGACCTCATCACAGGGTAGTGATTGGTTTTGTGTTTAGTTTTATTTTTAAAAAAATAATGTAAATTACTTTTCTTTTTTTTCTTTTAGAATATGATCTCCATAATAGGTTTTAGATTAGATTTTGGGACACTGCAAAAACTGAAGCAGTACCCTGTGAAGAAGGGGAATAAATATTTTATATTATTATTATTATTTAATAATATATTATCAAATTGTACTCTGTTATATAGAAACACATTTTATAGTAACACATTTGGCAAGCATAAAATTTGACTTTTTGAATTAATTTGTAAATGATTTTTTTTATGTTTGTAAATCCATTTTCATATATATTCCATGATTATAAATCTTACTTTTAAAAAGAAATCCTGAATGTGAAATGTTTCCATAATAAAATTATTGACCAAATAATGTTGGTAAAACTTTCATGGTATATTTATTTGAGCAATATATTGTAAATTTCAGTTTATAATATTTATCCTTATCAAAGATATTAAAATTATTTTGGTCATCATATAAAGTACAACATAATTTTTTATTGTTTCTAAAGATGTAATAAAAAGAAATGTTTAATTAACACAATATCCACTATAGTTGAATAAGTTTATTATTTTACATGTTAATATGGGCTCCTTCATCAGTCTTTTATTCATTGATTTTTGTTAACTTTTCTACTATTTTGACTTTTATATTACTTACAGTAGTTTTTATTACTTTCCTATTTACTCTTGTAATATTTATCATAAAAACAAATATAAGCTGAAATTTACATGCTATGAAATATACTTTAAAAACTTCACTTACATAAGTTGTTGAATATCAAATTTCATTGTGAAAACATTGGCTTATATAAAACATCTGAAATAGTGTGTATTAAAACTTTAAAAAAAAATGAAAAAAATTATCTTAGATTACATTTGGAAATAATGGACACACCTTCCTTCTATCTATCCATTAAATCAAGGATTTAATAATAAAAGTTCAGATTTGTCATACTAGGCACCCCAGCTTTAGACTGGTATATAGCCACATGGTATGGTGCAATTAGTGAGGATGAAAAACATTGTCACGATGATCTTCAAGAAGAGATTGCTAACATTACTCTTATAAATCTTTTACTCTTAAAGAAATATTCTGAAAGCTGTAAAAAAAATATTGCTTTTATTAAAACAAAATTTAATAAATTTTATGCTAAAACTCATTGTTGCATGAATAAATATTTTGATAGAATGGCAAAAAGAAGAATTCATATATTGAAATGTATTCAGTGTTTAAAAGATCTAATACATTATTTTGCTTGGAATTGTTTGTTTTTTTGTGGGTTTTTTTTTACTGTTTCTTTAACTGTAAAATATTTGGATTTTCACATTATTACTAACAGAATAAGAATTGCTCACTTTGATCAGTGTAAAATGTCTTATGTAGAAACTTTTAATGATTTGGAAAACTAATATTTTTTTAAATGTAAATGACTTTTTTTCTTTTTTTTCTTTTTTTTTTTATTGGCAATATTTAAAATATTTCTTATGCGAACAAAATCACTTCAGTTGTAATATTTTAATTTATTATAAAATTGTAATTTGGGAACTTACTTTCATTTTATTTCAGTTTTTGTATATATGTTTCATTATATTCCTTGTAAAGTAACAGCTTCTTTTTTTTTTTTTCTTTTTTTTTTTTTTTTTTTTTTTTTTTTAAATTTAATGAGAATTTTCCAATTTGATTATTTGAAAGAAGCATTATGATAATTTCAAAAAATATACTTTTTTATACTTTAATTTTTTTGTTTCTAATTCTTTTGTTTCATGTTTCTAAACTCCCTTCAATTGCAGCAACCTTACAGCGAGAACAACATTATACTCAGGAGCAGGAAGCTCCACCATTTGTTCCTCCTCCCCCAGTGCCGCCACCACCACCAATGTCCCAAGATGGTTATGGTTATGGCTTCAATTACAGAGGTTCCTTCACACTTAGAATTCCTTAGAATGGCCTGTGTGTGTCTTTTGCATGTTAGACATTTGAGCCCTTACCACTAAATTTTAAATGGTTCAAATCACATTTTTTCTCCTATTTTTCTTAGCAATCTCATCATCTTTCTACCCATTCCAACAATTTAATAATTTAAGTCTTACCAAGAGAATGATAAATAGCACAGTAGCTTTTTTAACTATTATTTAACCAACATATTAGTAGGCACTCATGAGTATTTTAGTGAGTAGTTATGAATATATTTTTCTTTTCTGCAGTTTTAGTTTCCTTTCAGCACAACAGTAAATATCTGACTGTAATTTTTTTTTTTTTTTTTTTTGTAAACAAGTGGTCATCAGAATAATACGTTAAACTTTAGTAACAAAGTTTTTTTTTTTTTTGTTGTTTGTTTTTCGTATTTCAAATGGAAGCTCATAATAATGATTATACTTTTATGGTTTAAGTTCAAAAGAGGAGTTTGAGACTAAAACTCAAGAATGTTTAGCTTCCATTCAAAATTTTCAATATAGCATATTACTTAAGGTGGGGTTAACAAGAAATTTTTATTTTAAATCAGTTTTGTTTTGAAGTATGGGACATGTGGGATACTTATAGAATATAAATAACTGTTTGTCTGAATTTTATCATTATTTATGTTCAGACTAATGTCCTCATTATCAGTGATAAAGATGAAGTATTAGTCTAAATGTAAATCAATGACTTTGGTTATACCAAGTTTTAATGAAGTGATGACATTTTCTCTCAGTTTTAAATTTTATTGATAATTACTTTCAAATAGTATTTGAGATTATTTCTCTTAGGCTGTTCTGCTTATAATATGGGAAGAGTTTGTTTTTATCTTTTTTATAAAATGAGGGATGAATAGATACATAACTCCAATGCTGAACAATATATCAGTTTATCATTGCTGTTATGATCAAGAGCAGATATCAAATTACCATAATAGTAAAGAATTGAAAATTTAATTTTTAATAAAAAGCATTTTCATTGATGTCAGCAACTATAAAAGTTTTGTATATGTTGTTGATATAATAGAATCTCACAGACATAACATAAACCACCTTTTAAAAATTTTAAACTAAAATATTTTCTATTAAATTCAGTTATGTTCAGGGTGTCTTTTTGGTGAAATGGAAATAATGAAAATATCTTTTTTTAGTATGACAGTCTTAATGTTGAAAGAATAAAAGGTGAAGCCTTTTTGTCCACACCAAAGTCCTGGTTTGTTTTAAGTGCATCATGTGGCATTCTTTGCTTTTGTTTTGGTAAAAACAAACATTTTTATGATTATCACATTCTTGCATCTATCAATCTTTCTGGATCAAGCTTTTTCCATGGTGGGAATTGCATGACAGCTTTTACCTTTTCTGATAATTTGGTCTTTTTTTTTTTTTTTTTTTTTTTTTTTCTTTTTTTTTCCTCTTTTCATCTTCCTTTTGTGGACTTTAATCATCATCGTTCATCAAGGGAGGGGGGAGGTGAGAAGAGGAAAGGTTTCAGCATTAAAATTCTCATTTTTATGAACTGATTTTGTCTTTTATTTCTCCTGATCTTTCACTCCATTCATTCTAAATTCTATTTTTATTTGTTTGCCAATATTTTTCTATTTTTTTTTTTTTTTTTTTTTTTCTTACAAGACTTTCTTTCTTCTGTTTGTCAAATTTATATATTTGTTATTTCTTTGTTCAAGTAAGGTGATGTTTACATTGTTGAGTCAGTTCATTAGAAATGTTCAAAAAGGTAAAATTAAACAGCAGTATGATTGTTTATTTCCAAAGTTTTATAAAGGTCATTTATATTGATCGCTCACTCTATATGTGCCATATCTGCCATTCTCTAAAACATACCTTATTTTACAAGGATATTTTAAAATTCCTGTATGCTTTATCATACTTTCATTGAAAGTGATTATAAAGTGGTAATGTAGAGGAAAATATGATTCTATGTATAGATACTAGAATCCAATAGAAATTCATTGGTAGTAAAATAAATACAATTTACCATAGCTAAAAAGAAATATCAGTGTATCGGCATCAGTAAATACTAATACAGGCATACGAAGCAAATATATTGATATAAATTGGTATGAACCTAGTAATGTACACATATAAAAACACTACTGTTGTTTTAGTATTCATGATTGAAAATGGCTTAGCAAACAATTTTTGGGGGTATTCATCTAATTTTTCTTCTCGTTTTTTGAGATTACTTCAAAAAATCATGCCATAAAATAATTCATAGTAAGTTGCATCCCATTATGTATACTAATATGTATACATATGTTTTATGGGAAATTGCCTCCACTGTTAATCTTACCAACTTAGTCATTATTTGTTTTCAGCAAACTTGCCATTAGCATGTGATAATAAACTGTAATAATGAGGCTTGTTTTTTTTTTTTTTAAATTTTATCCTTAATGTCATGCTTAATATTTTTATATTTAATGGATTATTATTAACCCACCTTCTTAGTCAGATGACTGAATATTACCTGCAGCATTCAGGCCCCTGTTCGTGAGATATATATATATATATAGATATATATATGTTTGTCATTTAGTTGATCATTTATATATATATATATATATATATATATATATATATATACACACACCTGATGTAACAACATCAGTGTCCATCCCACAAAATGTTTAATATCTAAAGAAAACAAGAAAACCACTAAACTAATTGAGTTTCTTTCTTCTAGGTTTTCAGATAGGACATTTAGACAGCTTGACACCATTTGTTGTAAGAATCACTGAAAACCCCTTTGAGTTTTTCAGCTAGAAAAGAACATGTTAAAATTTTTTGTGCCAGACTCACTGTCTTCCCAACTTAGCAATGGTGAGAGGAATGATCATTCAGGGCTTCAGTAATAGTACCAACGTTCATACTCTGGCTTGTATCAAAGTTCATTCAAGAATCAAGAAAACAGTGAATAAGTTTAAAAAAAGAGATAATAGTAGAGAAGAAAACTGGATCAGGAGGTCACAACAGGAAGAGTGGTCATCATTTCAACTTAAAACTAAAGAGATCAATTAGAAAAGATCAAACTCAATCCATGTGAGAAAGGAGTTTCAGCTATGACAGTCCAAAGAGCAGTGAAAAAAGACTTGAAAATGTAATCATACATGAAACCTGCAAGACACCTTCTTACTCCATGACAGAAAGTTGGAAGGGCAAAGATCATCTTGAATAAGTTGGAAAATAATCCTGGAATAAAATATATATATTTGGACTTTATTTAAATCCTTCATGAGCTTCTGATCATTAATTATGTTCATGATTAATTAATCATAGCTAATTATGATTAATTAATAATGAGCATATCATTTTTGTTTATGATTGATTTAATCACGATTTTTCTGTTAAACTTATACATTGTTATTGCTCAAAGTAGTCCAATAGTATTATAAAAACCTTGAAGAATTTCAGTAAGACATCTGTCTTTAATCATTTCTAAGATATAATGGTTCAAAGCTTAATCTAACAATTTTGCTGTTACACTCTGTCTGTCTGTGTGTGTGTGTGTATATATATATATATATATATATATATATATATATATATATATATGTGTGTGTGTGTGAATTAAATCCAGCAGTTAATATATTTTCTCTTTATACATTATTTTTAAACATACAATTTATTTAAGTAAATGCTCTGTTTTAATTAAACAGTAACCCTAACTTTACTCTTAGAGGCTGTAGTCCAACATATACCATTTGGGAATCAGGCCAACTCCATGAGCAAATTAAAAACATTGTATTACAGAGCCTCCAGTAGTTAGAGGCCATACGGTGCCTCATTCTCTCAGTAAACAAAAACTTAGCTCCTTTAGGGACACATTTACATTTGTTATGTACAGCCACGAATAAGTGTCTGTTGTGATCTGAACTGTTATAGCCATACCAGTTTTATTGCAATTTTTTTTTCTTTTTTTTCTTACTAAATATTCACCCAATACAAGATCTAAAAGCTACTCATGGTAGAGGATTGCTGATTGAGCAAGTAAAAATAAAAATTTACATAGTTTTATTTGAAAACATCTCCATATTTAACCAAATATATTTGTTGACAATTTTCTTGTCTTAATTTGCAAGTTTTTCTTTTTCTATTCTATTCTGTTTTCAAGATTGTTATTACTTATTTATCTCTGTTCTTCAGTGTCCTAAGTCTCTTGTTACCTACTTTCTTTCCAGACCCAGACTGGTTTCAGGTTCCTAGCCTTTCTTGGGTTACTCTATTGATTGGTCTTTCTCTCAGAAATGTTATTTTCATCATCTACAAAAAACACTTACATTGCAAGCCTCTACTCATCTTTCAACACTTTGAAACCAAATTGTTTTTATTGGGTGTATCAAAAATTGATTTTTTTTTTTTTTTTTGTTAAAGACCTCTACTTCATAGTTGATTTCATGTGCATATTTCAAGCCTATGACTGCACAGTATCAATGTCATTATTAATAATACTGGTACTCAGCTGCACTTTTTGTTTCAAATGTTTTGTTGGAAGGTACAAATATTCAGATTTTGGTAAGTTTTAGACATTTTATTATTATAGGCAATTGAATAACAAAGTGGAAAAATTGTGTGTAATGTTTTTGTCCTCTAGGACTTTGTCAAATTAGTTTTATTGATGGAATTATGGATGTGGAGGAGAGGTAGATATAAATGCAAGTGCTTGTTATAATTATGTATTGAAGAGAAATGCTCAAGATGTGGGTATTTTTTTTTTTTTGTCAAAAATCTCTGGGCACACAGTCTAGCTGATTCAAGTTCTCTATGCTTTTGTTTTTAAGCATTCCATATTGATAACAGGAGATCTGTTAAGAAAATTTAAAAAATTTTAAGAACCTGGATGCAAATTTACCATTGTCACATTAGTAAATTGCTTTATCTCTTAAAGTAGCATTTTTCTTTAAATTGAAATTATGGTCAAACTCATTATGGCGACTTACTAATTTATT